TTCCAAAAAGCGCGTGGCGCATTATGGTCGACCGGCATGTCACACTTCTTGGAAAATAATGCATAATTAACACATTTTAGTTTCAAAAAATTTTAAACTTTGTAAAAACCTTATTCATACATTGATCAACAACTTTCTCACTGGAAGTTTCCTATAACTTGAATTTTGTAACACACTTTTCCTAGATAAAGCCCAGAAACCGCAAATTTCGAGCGCATTAAATTTAGGTCGATTTTATTAATTAATATTAACAATTCATTAGACATTTTGGAAATTTCAGTTTGCCTATCTGTTTCGCTACTATCTTGTGAATATATCCTGAAAATTACCGAAAAAACAAAAAAAATAATAAGATTACAAAAAAAAATTAAAAAAAAATAAAAAAAATAAAAAATAAAAAAAACATGGAGCCAGAACCCATCACATCCTCGTCGTTGGCTCTGGGTCGCGCTAAGTGTGGGTAATATTTTATGTGCCATGTGCGTAATTAATAGTTAATAATTATAACAAATTTAAAGCTACAGCTCCCCCCAAAACTTTTTCCTGGCTACGCCACTGGCTACCATATATATGTGAGAGCTCTCTACCCAGGACCGTGTCTAGCGAATGTGTGATGTGTGCATAGCACACAGGCAGCCAAAGCCCAATGATATGTAATCAAAATTCAATGTACCAACCATAAATATGGTATCACTAGACTGCGCAATTGTCAGAAATTTGAGGAGTGGGGGTAGACTTTAGACAATATGTTACAGGAACGACTTGAAAAAATTTATCAATAATATCTAAAGAACATAAATTATAGAATAAAATGAACATGCATAATATAATTTCAGAATTTGTTTTGCAAAAAGCTCAGAAATATTGTTTTCTGTAATATTTGTTTATAATAATAAAATTGTAGTAATATCATAAAGTATAAACATTTTCTTGATTGTCTCTTATGTTTCTGTATATTACAACTTGTAATTAATTTTATCCAGTGTTGGAACAGATACCGTTTGAAAGGTATTTAGATATAGATATAGGTATTGTATGGCAAAAGTATTTAGATATAGTTATAGATACATTTTTTTACAATTACCTAGGTATAGGTACAGATATAAATAAAAAGTATCTGAAAATTTAGATACTTTTTATGGTACTTAAAAAAAAAATTTTTTTGAGTGGGGAAACAGGAAAAGAAAAAGTAATAAGCAATGTAAATTAAATATCACATTTTATCTTTACTTATTTATCTTAACATATAAAGAAATATAAAATAATATTATTAAGACTCGTTTGAATAAATCCAAGTGGTATTAACAATGCCTAATTCGAGTCAAACACTGAGTGTAGTCGTGTATTATATGTCAGCTTTATTGTTACAATTAAATACAATTCTCAAACGTTTCAATCCTGCTTCGGATCCTCATCAATAATTTGCATGTTCCGATTATCAAAATATTTCCTAATACAATGATTAATCGGAGCTAATGATGTTAGCATGTTCACGCAATTAGATAGTTGAAATGTGGTAATTAGAACATGCAAATCATTGATAAGGATCCGAAGCGGGATCGAAACGTTTGAGAATTGTATTTAATTGCAACAATAAAGTTGACATATTCTACACGACTACACCCATTGTTTGACTCAAATTAGGCATTGTCAATACCACTTGGATATAAAGAAATGTTTCAAACGTATTTAAAAAACATAGAGATCTCTCTAACATTTTCAAAAGCATAGAGACACTACAAAACATAACTTTGTAACTATGTTTTTTATGTACAACATAACTATTTCTCACGTTTTTTTAATATTAATAAAGTTTCAAACATTGAGTCGGACAATCGATTTCTTCTTGGAGTTAAAGAACGCTGACATTATCAAATATTGATTGACGAGACGTTGACTATGGCTATTGTGCCAACTTCCGCCGCGCGGCAAGCGTTGCAGTGAGTTCTATCTGCAGAAGCCATTTAGAGATCCTATAATAAGAGTTTGGCCAAAGCAGACCAAAGATGACGGATAGAAGGAGATAACAGATATGCTTTCTTTCTCGTATTACGCTATCTGTCTCTTTCTATTCTCCGAACTCGTTTTCCGACAATGTGTACAAAGCTATCCGAAGAATGCCGAATGGACCAAGGTAGAGAACCAATCAGAAGTTGGGCCCGCTTTGGCCAAACTCTTATTATAGGATCTCTAATGGGCCTTCTACAATAAGCCGTAAGTCACAAATCATAAGTCATAAGCTAGAAATGGACCAATCACAGTCGTCAATTTTTAGTTTCTTACTTCCGATTTATGACTTATGACTTATTGTAGAAGGCCCATTAAAGCCATTATAATGGTGGCGACAGTAGATGCATCCAGAAGCTCGACCGCTCACTAAGCGCTCAATGAGCTTTTTTATCTGATTGGCATATTCCATTAGATCTAAAAATATAAACCAAACAGGTACAAGAAGCTCACTGAGCGCTCAATGAGCGGTCGTGCTTCTGAATGCACCCAGTGTATAATACCTGTAACTATGTATCTAAAACTTAAAAGATACCGTATCAAAAACTAACTAGATACGGATACAGGTATCTCCGCCTATAAGATATAATGCACTTAGGTACAGCTACAGTATCTAGATACTTTTACCTAGATCCGTTCCAACACTGATTTTATCTATATTTGTTAACATATGTATGTGTAGAACATTGTTTTTTATTTAATCGAGGATTTCTAAATATACGTAATATGTATATGCACGTTTTTGATAGGACAAAATTATTTTTACACACAAGCAGCCAATTCCCTCTGTATGGCCCTATCTCTATCTACATAGCTGCAATGTTAACGACTTGCAAATGTAACTTATTTTGCAAGCAACAATAATCCTCTTTGTTTGTCTGTCTCGTTAGTACCTATCCAGTTTTCATTCGTATATATGTTTCTATAAAAAGATTTTTGCATTAACAAAAAATAGGAATTCGGGCAATAAAGACTAAATGGTCCTTCTAACTAAAATCTCTTAAAATAAATTTATAATAACTCTATTACATTGGTTCTAAATTCTACTTTTTATATATTTAACAACAAAATATATAAACAAATTTATGGCATTCCTATGAACTCCCATTGTCTCCCGTTATCGCAGACTATAGCTGCGTTCGGCAATGTAAATCTGAGGCGTCGGAGTGCTCTTTTTCTACAGTGTACGTGACATACGCTATAATATAAGAGCACTCCGATGCCTCAGATTTGCATTACCGAACGCAGCTATTGTAATGCAAGATCTCGAACAAATCGCCATTGATAGACTGCTATTTAAATTATTATTTTATTTTCGATATGTGGATGACATCATTTTAGCAGCTCCATCAGAAAGATTGAACTTTCTAGATACAACTATTATTGTTAAATATTACATTATTTTTTATAGATACAAAAAAATAATATATATCTTCTTCCTTGACTTCTATTCTCATTATCCACTTTGCCATAAAATAGGTGTCATTTATGAATTTGTTCTTGACAGTAAATAGTATTGTAAAATTATACAAGACAAGAATAGTAAAATTATTGTATCTGTCAAAAAATTTAATTAACGCTATTAATATATTTTTAAATAATAATTTTTATCCTCTTTCATTAATTTTTTCTAAAATCAAAATAGATTAAAATATCATTCTCTCTCTCTCTCTCTCTCTCTCTC